ACAGACTTGTCTGCACAGACAGTACCACCCAGCTTGGGGCCCAGAGAAAGCCCAGACTGCCCCCCGCGCAGCAACCTGCTCCCAGCCCCCCTGCCCCACCAGGCCCCTCCTTTGTCCTCCTTCACTGGCAAAGCTGTCCCCTGGGGGCACCTCGCCAGTGCCAAAGGGCATTGGCTAATGTCAATGTGCAGGAGGCCGCCACCCCCAAATCCCCATCCCCATCTTGATACTGTTGCAGGGAAACTGAGGCACACACGGGGTTCTGGCAGGACAGTAGAAATCACAGGCAGCATCAGAAGGTGAATAAACCCCCCACGTTGTCACACAGAGTTACTCCCGACTGACCCGTGTGCAGGGCTGAGGGGAAACAGCCTCATGAACCCAGCACAGCCCCCAGGAATCAGGCCAGGAGGGCAAGAGCAGAATTCAGGCCCGGTGGAGCTGGAAATCAGGCCCTGCCGGCCCCAGGGCCCTCCCGTATTTACCTGTCTCTGGGTCTGGCCAAATCTCTGTTAATTGGCGACTCTGCCTGGAGCCCGGTGGGGATTCAGGGCTGGTCCTGAGGGGCCTGGAGGGGATTTAAGGCCCAGGCGGAGCCGGGAAGCTGCAGGTAGCAGTGGGAAGCTGCTGGTTCGGCAGCAGCGCGGGCAAGACGCGGGGGCAGCCCTGGCCAGCTTGGCAGCACATTAGGGCTCCAGGCTGGGTCCCTCTCCTGGGCACTGGACTGAGCTGGGGAGGACGCTGGATGGGGCCACAGGAGTCCCGGCCGGGGCAGAAGGGAAGAATCCCAGTCAGCTGGAGCCGCCTCTGCCCATGCAGCCAGTGTAAGGCGCCTGCTTTGATACCAACCCTCTCGCGCTGCCCTCGGTCTCTGCCTGTCTCTGGTCACCCCTTCCCATGCACGGCTAGTTCCAGTAACTCTGGCTGGGCTTTTCCCCATCTCCTTCTGTCCTGTCATAGAATCAGAGACCCATAGAGCTGGAAGAGACCCCGGAAGGTCAAGTCCAGCCCCCCGCTCTAGGCAGGACCAATCCCAACTAAATCAACCCGGCCAGGGCTTTGTCAAGCCGAGACTTAAACACCTCTAGGGATGGAGCCTCCACTACTTCCCTCCTCTGGCCGTCCCAAACGCCCCCCTTCTCCCACACAAAACCTCACCCACAGCTCCAGCCCATGGCATCATGTCCAGTCCCCTGCCCTCCCGGCAGGACCCAGCACTGTCTAGACCATCCCTGGCAGGGGTCTGTCCAACCTGCTCTTCAATATCCCCAGTGATGGAGATTCCACAACTTCCCCAGGCAACTTATTCCAGGGTTTTAGCGCTCTGACAGGTAGGAAGTTTTTCCTAATGTCCAATATAAACCTCCCTTGCTGCAGTTTCAGCCCATTGCTTCTTGTCCTGTCCTCAGAGGCCAAGATGAACAATTTTTCTCCCTCCCCCTTGTGACACCCTTTTAGATACTTGAAAACCGCTCTCATATCCCCTCCCAGTCTTCTTCTTTCCAAACTAAACAAGCTCAATTTTTTAGCTCACCAGTGGGTCAGTCATTCTTCCGCTCTACTCTGCACTTATCAGGCCTCAGTTGGAGGATTGTGTCCAGTTCTGGGCACCACATTTCAAGAGAGATGCAGAGAAATTGGGGAAGATCCAGAGAACAACAACAAAATGAAGAAAGGTCTAAAGAACATGAGCCACGAGGGAAGACAGAGAACTGGACATGTTCAGTTTGGAAAAGGCAAGACTGAGAGGGGACATGAGAGCAGTTTTCATGTACCTAACAGGGCGTTATAAGGAGGAGGGAGAAAAATTGTTCTCCTTGGCCTCTGAGGACAGGACAAGAAACAATGGGCTGAAACTGCAGCAAGGGAGGTTGAGGTTGGACGTTAGGAAAAACTTCCTACCTGTTAGGTGGTTAAACACTGGGATGAATTTCCTAGGGGGCTGTGGAATCTCCACCACAGGAGATATTTAAGAGCAGATTAGACAGACCCCTGCCAGGGATGGTCTAGATGGTTCCGGGCCCTTCCGGGAGGGCAGGGGACTGGACTTGATGCCTCTCAAGGTCCCTCCCAGTTCTAGGATTCGAGGCTTCTCTGATTTTTCTGTTCCTTCCTTGTCCTCTCTCTGCCTGTGAACGCGGAGGAGCCTGGGCGGCGAGAGGAGTGAAGCCCCACAGAGACCCAGGGGGCTGCACAGGGGCCCACCCGTGTGGAGAGTGGGAGGGAGAGAACTAACCGCAGACAGACCCACCAGGAGGGAGAGCAAAGGGGGGGATTACCCAGGGGCCAGGAAAATGTCAAAGTACGTGGAGACCCCAGGTCAAGGTAGCAATAGCTGGGAACCTGCCAAGCCCTTTGAAATTGCCAAGTGATGGGTACAGTCCCCCTTGCGAGATGCTACTGCTGGTCCCACTCCTTCCATCTGCCCCCTCCTCCCGCAGCTGGAGCCCTGAGACTCAGACCCTCCTTACCCATACACACAAGTATGGGGCACCTGAAAATTTGGAACAAACAACAGGACTATGTAGCACTTTAAAGACTAACAAGATGGTTTATTAGATGATGAGCTTTCGTGAGCCAGACCCGCTTCCTCAGATCAAATAGTGGAAGAAAATTGTCACAGCCATATATACCAAAGGATACAATTAAAAAAAATGAACACATATGAAAAGGACAAATCAAATTTCAGAACAGAAAAAGTTTGGGGTGCGAGGTAAATGTCTGTGAGCTAATGAAATTAGAGGTGATAATTGGGGAAGCTACCTTTGTAATGGGTAAGATAATTAGAGTCTTTATTCAAACTTAAGTGTAAAGTGTCGAATTTGAGCATGAATGACAGTTCAGAGGATTCTCTTTCAAGTGTATTCTTAAAAGGCCTTTGAAGCAGGATGCAGGTAATCAAGTTGTTGAGACAATGTCCTTTCTGGTTGAAATGGCAAGAAACTGTTTTTTCTTTGTGATCCTGTCTAATATCTGTTTTGTGGGCATTGATCCTTTGGCAAAGTGTCTGAGATGTTTGTCCAATGTACATAGCGGACAGACACTTTCGGCACATGATAGCATAAATTATATTTCTGGATGCGCAGGAATATGTGTTCTTGATCTTATAACTCACTTGGTTGGGTCCAATGATGGTATCAGCAGAGTGAATATGTGGACAAAGCTGGCAACGGGGTTTGTTGCAAGGGATGGTACCAGGGTTGGTATTAGTGTGGTATGCCCTGTGGTTGTTGGTATGAATCATCTTGATGTTAGGTGGTGAAAATTTGGGGCACTTCTGGGTCTTAGTGTCCACCAGCCTGTCTCTTCCTCTCCCTGGTCTGTGGCTCTGCTCCCTCTGGAGAGGATCCAGTGAGCTCACCAGTGACAACGCTGGCCTGAGCTCTTAGCAGACAGCCCCCATCAAAGAGCTGATGAAGCGGCAACGAAGCCATTTCAAGGCCTGTGCCAGCCCGAGGCAGAGACGCTCTGTCTCTGAATTGACTGTGCCAGCGACAGGACCTTCGTTTCACATTTGCTTTCAGGCGTGCGTTGCTGAAGAATGGAGCTGTGTCGCAGCCCAGGACTCCTAGGGACATCCCCAAAGCCCTCTCCCCCCCACCCTCCTCCCTCAGCCAGAGCACAAGCCCCTTGCCCGGAGAAGCCCCAAGCAACCCAACAGGGCCAGAAGAGTCACAGCTTGGCCACAAGCCCCCGACACCTGGAGAAACACCAAGATCCCACCCCAGCAGAGGATCCCCGGGCCACTTGCAGCCTCACCTCCCCTACCCTAGGGAATCCATCCCAGGGCTTCCCCACCCTCCCAGGGAAATCGTTTTTCCTACTATCCAACCTAGACCTCCCCCGCTGCAACTTGAGACCATTGCTCCTCATTCTGCCACCTGCCCCCACTGAGAACAGCCTCTCTCCAGCCTCTTTGGAACCCCCCTTCAGGGAGTTGACGGCTGCTCTCAAATCCCCCCTCACACTATCAGCCAGGGGTAGGAATGGTGCCCCTGGTCTTTGTTTGTCAAAGCCTGGGGAAGGATGGCAGGAGACAAATTGCTTGATCATTGTCTTTGGACCACCCCCTCTGGGGTACCTGGCATTGGCCACTGTAAGCAGACAGGATACTGGGCCAGATGGACCTTTAGTCTGACTCAGTATGGCCGTTCTTATGTTCCTATGTTCACTCTTCTTTTCTGAAGACTAAATAAGACCAGATCTCTCAGTCTTTCCTCGTAGGTCTTCATCAGTTTGGTTGCCCTGCGCTGGACCCTCTCCAATGCGTCCACGTCCTTGCTGTAGTTGTGGGGTCCAGAACTGAGCACAGTTTTCCAAATGTGGCTTTACCAGAGTCGAATAAAAGGGAATAATCACTTCCCTAGATCTGCTGGCAATGCTCCTCCTAATGCAACCAAATATGCCATCAGCCTTCTTGGCTACAAGGGCTCCCTGTTGACTCATATCCAGCTTCTCATCCACTGTAATCCCCAGGTCATTTTCTGGAGAACTCCTGCTTAGCCAGTCAGTGCCTGGCCTGAAACAATGCTTGGGATTCTTCCATCCCCAAGGCAGGACTCTGCACTTGTCCTTGTTGAACCTCATCAGATTTTGTTTGGTCCAATCCTCTAATCCTGTGTTTCTCAAACTGTGGCTCTCGACCCCCCAGGGAGTCATGAGCAACTTAGCGGGAGGTCGCAGTATCACAGGATTTGAGAACCCCTGGTCTAATCTGTCCAGGTCACTCTGGACCCTAATCTTGCCCTAGCTAAGTGAATTTAATGGTCCCCTTTGTCAGTTTGTGACTGCAGGATCCTCAAAGGCGACATATTCTCCGTATCTTCAGAGCCACCACAATCAGGTCCTCACCCAACTGGCACTGGAGTGCCCGCTCCTAATGAAAATGAGGCATGTGAGCAATGTCCCGCAGAGTGACATCACAGCTGCAGGGTGGCAGGGAATTTTGTTTGCGTAACTCACTGGTTTATTTCTCTCCCCTACCCAGGAAAGATACCCAAATGGAGCTGGTCAACCACACGATGGTGACTCATTTTATCCTCTTAGGCATCCCCAACACCGATGGACTCCAGACCATCCTCTTCTTCACTTTCTTGGCCTTCTACCTCTGCACCCTGCTCGGCAACATGCTCATCCTATCAGCCATCTTTGGCGACCCCCGCCTGCACACCCCCATGTACTTCTTCCTCTGCAACCTCTCCATCGTAGACCTTGGTTTTTCTTCCGTCAGCATCCCCAAATTGTTGGCCAGCCTCTGGGCCAAGAACAGAACCATCTCGGTAGGCGGGTGCATGGCCCAGGTCTTCTTCTATCACTTCCTGGGAAGCACCGAGTGCCTGCTCTGCACGGTCATGGCCTACGACCGGTACGTGGCCATCTGCCACCCACTGCGCTACCTGCTCATCATGAACCGCAGGATGTGCTCCCTCCTGGCTGCTGGCACTTGGATCACCAGCTGCTTCCATGCCACCATTCTCACCAGCCTGACCTTCACGCTGCCCTACTGCGGGTCCAACGTGGTGGACTATTTCTTCTGTGACATCTTCCCCGTGGCCAAGCTGGCCTGTGCAGACACGTACATCATCGAGACCGTGACCTTCACCAACACTGGGGTGGTGCCCACGACCTGCTTCCTTCTCATCCTATTGTCCTACGTCCGCATTGTCTACTCCGTTGTGAAGATGAACTCAGCCGAAGGGCGGCGCAAAGCGGCCTCCACTTGCACCTCCCATCTGGTGGTGGTGATGCTCTTCTTCGGGCCCTGTGCCCTGGTCTACACCCAGCCCGAGCTGAGCACTGTGATGGTGACGGCCGTGCAGCTCTTTGGCTATGTGGCAACGCCCATGCTGAACCCGGTCATCTACACCCTGCGCAACAAGGAGGTGAAAGCGGCTCTGAGAAAACTGAGAGGGGGTCTGATGCCTGCACGTTGATGGAGTCCACAAGGAAATACACCCACAAATACGTCTGTTGGGTGCTTGTTGGCTTTTGTGAACTACCCTCTCTCCGCCCATTCCAGGACTGTCCTACCTGACTAGAATCATAGAATCATAGAACACCAGGATGAGAAGGGATCTCGAGAGGTCATTTGGTCCGGGCAGGACCAAATATCTAGCCAGATATCTAGAAATCATAGAATTGACCCCCAGCTTTCGCAGACGTGGTGTGAGGCAAAGCTGCCTAATGGATGGACACACTCGGTCTGTGCCGTAGGAATGGGAGACCCAAACCTTGTAGCTGACTGAAATCTCAGCCTTGCTCCACAGGTCTGCAGAAGCTCTTTGCAGCATCTTTTGCAAATCATAGAATCCTAGAGTACTAGGACGGGAAGGGACCTTGTGAAGTCATTGAGTCCAGAGCCCTCCTGGCAGGATGAAGCCCCATTGTGAAGTTATTGAATTTCTGAGGTGACCATGTAAAACATTGTTTCCACCAATGTTCTCTGTTTGCAAAAAATCTTGT